AAAACAAAAGTGGCACTGCTTAGAAGCATTGAATTATCTAATCGCACGCGGCCTCTGTATTCCTAAATTATCGTCACGATTCACGACGAATGGCTGGAAGCACTACCAGGACTTTCCAAAATGGAGTCCTCCTCCAAGGTTATTGAATTCTTTGTAGGCCAAAGCCCCTCTTTGCACTCTCTAATTATGTTTTTTTTACTGTCAATATTTTTTAAATATTTTTTTCTTGGTTAATATCTTTCACTTTTTAAAACTCGTAAAAAATTTAATATTTTAACGAATCATCACATTATCGTTAATAATTATTAAAAAGTGTAATATATAATAACCAAATAATGATGTGGGTGTTACGTGAGGTTATTTATCTAATGTGAATGATTTTTTGATGATGTGGCATGATAACATGGCATAATTTTATGTGAAAACCTTCCAACCAAAAAAAAAAAACCCTAAAACAAAAAATTAAATGAATTAAAACATAATTAATTTTAATTTCTTCGCTTTTTTCTTTCTCCCCATCTTCGACATCATCTTCACCTTCCTCTTCATCATCTTCTTGGGTTCCACAAGGAACCTAGGTTCTAGGGTTCCACAAACCCAAAACTAAGTTCCAGGAGGAACCCAAAACTTGGGTTCGTGAGGAACCTAATTTTGGGTTCCTTATGGAACCTAGTCTCCATGGATGATCGAAAAAGATTTTATCCATGGTTCTAATGGAGGTTTCTTCAGATTGGAAAAAAATGAACAATCTTTTAATTCACTTGCAAGAAAAGTTGAGATCCCATCAAAGAATCAAATCATCATCTTATTATTCTATCAAAACTAAAAATAATCACAGAAAAGAAAGGTGAAAGAAAAGTACAAACTGGGTTCGACGAGGAACTCAGAGCTAGGTTCCACCATGATGAGGAACCCGAACCTAGAGCTAGGTTCTTTCACTCTGGGTTCCACTGTGTTCTAGTTCTTTTTTTTTTTTGGGTTGGGAGGTTTTTATATAAAATTATGCCATGTCATCAAAAATCATCCACATTAGATAAATAATGCCACATAATGCCCACATCATTATTTGGTTGCCACATAATGCCCACATCATTATTTGGTTGCCACATAATGCCCACATCATTATTTGGTTGCCACATA